AGGGCAATGGCTAGAGCCGAAGGGTCATTGCTTAAGTTCATGAAAGAAGAGATCCCTGGGGTTACATCTCCAATGGTGTATGTTGCTATGATGTTTAGCTGGTTTGCGTGGCATGCCGAAGACCATGACCTTCATAGTCTCAATTACTTGCATATGGGTGCTAGTAAGACCTGGTACGGTGTGCCAAAGGATGCTGCTGTGGCTTTTGAGGAGGTGGTTAGGGTTCATGGTTATGGAGGAGAGCTCAATCCTCTTGGTGAGTTTTCTTTTCTACCAAATGCTTATTGTTATGGGATACTCTGTTACACTGTCACTTGTGTCAAGAAAATGTTGGTAAAAGCTTCTGCTTGGTTGGTTTTTGTTTCAAGTTACATTCTTTTGTTAACATGTTTCGTTTGAGTTAAGTTATAATGATTCTGCGAGTCTGGGATCTTAATTTTAATTATTTGCTCTGATTTTGGCGTGTTTGCGTCTCTATCCTTGTGTGTTGCTTCGAACTGTTTTTCTTTATTTCAAAATTAGACCAAGGAGAAAGATGTTTATGTAGCTTTCTACAAGTAATTGAAATAGTTATGACTCTTATGTTGTCTTCTCAGTGACATTTTCAACTCTTGGTGAGAAGACAACTGTGATGTCTCCTGAAGTATTTGTTAAAGCCGGAATACCGTGTTGCAGGTAATGGTTTTCTTGTGTGTGCTCTGTTTATCTCTTCAGGTAGTTGTCTTCCACAGTTCTGCGTTAATCGCTTCAATTCTATCACACTCTTTTTAATTAGTTAGAAAAATCCAGAGGCATTATTTTTCTCTTGGTTTACATGCATATACAATTTATCAGGTTAGTACAAAATCCTGGAGAATTTGTCATCACTTTTCCAAGAGCATATCATTCAGGGTTTAGCCATGGTGAGTGACCGACCTTAAGTCTCTTCAAGTTAATCATTCAAGGCTTAACATCTTCAAACTTGAAACTATCCAATAAAATATCTTGGGGTTTACAGGATTCAATTGTGGAGAAGCATCTAACATTGCAACTCCCGAATGGTTAAGAATAGCCAAAGGTGCTGCCATCCGGCGAGCTGCAATAAATTACCCTCCAATAGTTTCTCATCTCCAGTTACTTTATGACTTTGCATTGGCTCTAGGTTCAAGGTATTTTCTTCTTTGCATAGGTTTCCACACACTCTCCAACTTTAGAGTCTTAAAACTGTTTAAAAGGTGTGATTCACTCATTGCAGAGTGCCAACAAGCATCCACACCAAACCACGGAGTTCTAGACTGAAAGATATGAAAAGAAGTGCAGGAGAAAAATTGACGAAAGAGCTATTTGTACAAAGCATTATCCGCAACAATGAATTGTTCCATTCTCTTGGAAAAGGATCTCCAGTAGCCCTTCTCCCACAGAGTTCCTCAGATATATCAGTTTGTTCTTATCAGCGAGTTGGATCCCATTTGAGAACTAACCAGGAAAGGCAAATCCAATTAAAATCTGAAGACTTAAGCTCTGATAGTGTCAGTCTCAATAACAGTTTTAAGGATACTGTTTCAGTGAAAGAAAAGTTTACATCTTTATGTAAAAGGAACAGAAAGCACCTGGCAAGCACGGAGAAGGAAACTCAAGAAACGTTGATAGATGCTGAAAGGAAGAAAAATGTTGGGCTTTCGGATCAGAGGCTTTTTTCTTGTGTTACATGTGGAATCTTAAGCTTTGATTGTGTAGCTATTGTTCAACCTAAAGAAGCAGCAGCTAGGTATCTCATGTCTGCAGATTGTAGCTTCTTCAATGATTGGACAGTTGCTTCCGGGTCTGCAAATCTTGGTCAGGATGCAAGATCACTTCATCCGCGTAAGTTACAAGTCGCTCTTCCTGTTAATTTCTTTATAGTGTAACTCTTAAGACATGAAATTAAGCTTATTATTTTGTATCATCACACAGAAAGCATGGAAAACCATGATGTAGATTACTTCTACAAGGTTCCTGTTCAAACAGGCAATCAAAGAACTTCAACAACTTTGTTAATGAATGCTCATAAAGAAGATGGTGCTCTGGGGTTGTTAGCTTCAGCATATGGATCTTCTGATTCCGAGGAAGAAGATCACAAGGGCTTAGATGCATCATCTTTTGATACAGATGGCAACAGGGAAGCTGCAGATGGTCGGTCTTCTGATTTTAACAGCCAAAGACTTTCATGTGATAAAGGGAAAGGAGTTGCTGAGGGATCAAATACCACTGAGCATAATGGGTTAGGCAATGGTGACAATACATCAGTTCTGGAAATTGCTTTACCCTTTGTTCCAAGATCTGATGACGATTCCTCTCGGTTGCACGTGTTTTGTCTTGAACATGCTGCAGAAGCGGAGAAGCAACTCCGTCCTATTGGGGGGATTCATATAATGTTACTGTGCCATCCAGGTAACAGAAAAACTACAAGATTCATTTTTTGTTTGATTTACGACACTGTAAAATTGTGTAAAATTGAATCTTGGTGAAATTGTGCATATTCTTGTCTTATCATCGCTAAGGCGCACGATATTTGCAGAGTATCCCAGGATAGAGGCTGAAGCAAAAATAGTTGCCGAAGAACTCGGAGTCAATCACGAATGGAATGATACTGAATTCAGGAATGTGACCCAAGAGGATGAGGAAACGATTCAGGCGACGTTGGATAATGTTGGAACCAAGGCTGGGAACAGTGATTGGGCTGTAAAATTGGGTATTAACCTTTCTTACAGCGCTATTCTCAGTCGCTCTCCTCTGTACAGCAAACAGATGTCTTACAACTCTGTCATATACAATGCGTTCGGTCGCAGCTCTCTAGCAAAGAGCTCACCTGAAATTTCTGGTAAAAGATCTTCCAGACAGAGGAAATATGTTGTTGGAAAATGGTGTGGTAAGGTTTGGATGTCACATCAGGTACTATTAACTAACCTGAAACCATGCTAATTCGGACATTAGTACATCTCTGTTTCTGCTTGGCTTGGTTCAATTTAAGAATAACACTCTTTTCTTCTTCAGGTGCATCCCTTTTTGCTGCCGCAGGACTTAGAGGGGGACGAATCTGAAAGAAGTCATCACCTCCGAGGTGGTCTGGATGATGATGTCACTGGGAAGAGATTGTTTCCTTGTGATGTTTCTAGAGATGCAACCACAATGTTTGGAAGAAAGTATTTTAGGAAGAGAAAGATGAGAGCAAAGGCTGTGCCACGCAAGAAGCTTACCTCTTTTAAGAGGGAATACGGAGTTTCAGATGACACGTCAGAGGATAATTCTTATAAACAGCAATGGAGGGCTTCCTGGAATGAGGAAGCGACTTATTTTGAGGCAGGAAATACGGATTCTGGTGATTCGTCAAATCCTATGTCTGACCATCGGCTCAAGGGAATTCGTCGGCACAAGGGTGTTAAAGAATTTGAGTCAGATGATGAGGTTTCAGACCGTTCACTTGGAGAAGAATATGCGGCAAGGGAATGTGCAGTTTCAGACAGCTCAATGGAGAATAGCTTTCAGCTATATAAACAGTCAATGGACAGAAGTGCTTTGGAGGACTCTGTATATGGCCATGATGATGATAATATCTACAGACACCCTAGAGGGATTCCAAAGAGCAAGCGGAATAAAGTGTCCAGGAATTCAGTTACATATGATTCAGAAGAAAATGACATTTATCAGCAAAGTGGAAAGAGGAAAGCTAGCCGAATAGGTGGTGAGTATGATTCAGCAGAGGAATCTCTGGAGGAACAAGACTTTTATAGTACAGGGAAAAGGCAAACCAGGTCCACAACTAAACAAAAAGTAAAAACCGAGATAGTTCAGAGTCAGAGAGACACAAAAGGTCGTGCTTTGCGACAATCTGGGTCCAGAAAGAAGAATCAAGAATTGGATTTATACATGGAGGGACCTAGTACACGTCTTAGGGTGAGAAACCTGAATCCCTCAAGAGGGTCTTCAGATACAAAACTAAAGAAATGTGGTAAGAAAGGAAGTAGTAATGCTTCCTTCTCCAGAGTTGCAAGT